CACTCCACACCCCCAGCCAGCACCAGTCAACCCCCCAGCCAGCACCACTCCACACCCCAGCCAGCACCACTCCACACACCCCAGCCAGCACCACTCCAACACCCCAGCCAGCACCACTCCACACCCCCCAGCCAGCACCAGTCCACACCCCCAGCCAGCACCACTCCACACACCCCCAGCCAGCACCACTCCACACACCCCAGCCAGCACCAGTCAACACCCCAGCCAGCACCACTCCACACCCCAGCCAGCACCAGTCAACACCCCAGCCAGCACCACTCACACACCCCAGCCAGCACCAGTCACACACCCCCAGCCAGCACCAGTCAACACCCCAGCCAGCACCACTCACACACCCCAGCCAGCACCACTCACACACCCCAGCCAGCACCACTCCACACACCCCAGCCAGCACCACTCACACACCCCAGCCAGCACCAGTCAACACCCCCAGCCAGCACCACTCAACACCCCAGCCAGCACCAGTCACACACCCCAGCCAGCACCAGTCACACACCCCAGCCAGCACCACTCCACACCCCCATTGAGCTTTAAAAGAATTGGAATTACATAATTACTGTTAATTAAGCTAAGCCAAACAAGTCTACCCGCATCGTGATATTTAACTGGGAACAAATATCGCACTATTTTTACTTCATATATTTATTGATCAATTCTCATACACAGTTTTCAACGCCTTCACGTGACTTTTCTCCCTAACCCATTCTATAGTTACTACCCATCTGGTTGTTACTATAACTCCTCATATCCCACATATATGAATTGTCTTCCTACACGCCATGCAAAACAACATACAAGTGAACAACACAAATGTGAGCTGTCACTGTGGGAGATCTGTGTTGTGTATTGGGACAAGTAACCTGCGCCCTTCCCATATTACTGACACCATCCTTCCAACTTAATAGTGAACTCACTCTCTCTCTCCAGAAAACTCACCAAGGTCTTCGTCCCACTGATTACTGGTGTTTCAGTACCAGTACTGAATGTACCAGTGCCACCAGATTACTGGTGTTTGCCAACTCCTTTCCCAAGGGTTACAGACAACCCAGGATACCAGCCTGGGTTGTCTGTAATCCTCTATTCACCCAGCCTGTGTAACTGAGTTGTGTCGATGTTCTCAGCCAGGCTACGGAAGCTCTGTCTCTGTCTGGGTACAGTACATTTGTGATTCAGAACCCTTAGGCTTCTCTCATTTTCATACACTGAGGTGTGGGAATCATATCACTGTGTCGTGTGATGATGACTTTGTACATGTCTAGTGGTCGGTACCATCACAGCAGGTTGTGAGGAATTGGGTGGGAGTTAATTAAGGGTTATCTTAATTTATTCACAAAACTCAAGAGGTAACATTGAATACCGCTGCCGCTCTTGTCCAGCAGCAACCAGAGACCAAACTCAATCGCTTTCAGTCTTGTGAGGCTCAAGACGCCCTTCTCTCCACCAGTTCCCCTCAGCACTAAATATATAAAAATCAGTACCCACTACTCGCACCTCTCCGGGACCTACACCGCCTCAAGAACTAGCTAAGAATACTGAATGTCTCTCTCGACAGTTTTAAGATCCGCAGAGCCAAGAAGGGGAAACACCTTAATCTTAAAAACCATAATGTTTAATTAACAAAAAATGCAATGATACCAAATGAGGATACTACCTCAAGTACCTGTCAACACTTCATCTGAATCCTATGATCAGAACAGGGTTAGTATTCTAATTTATATTAAAACACCTCTGCAATTAGAACACTCTCACTTTATACTCATCATCAATAGGTCTGCAATAGCATCTCTAACATGTAGCTTCCACCCTAGACACAATGATAGGAACTATTCAGTCATTACATGCATGCATGGTTACATTCACCACCTAGAACAAAAGACGCTTTCAGGTTAATAAATATAATAATAACAATAAACATTTGACATTCTTAAACTCTTGGGGAGATGGTTAGGAATAATATAATGTAAGAGTTCACGAGATTACAATATTGCCTCGAAATGCAACCATAAGCATGATAACTTATAACAATAATCTTACTAATGATGACCTTCGTGAAGACCTCACATGGACAAACTAGAAGTGGTATAGAGAGAAGCCACGAGGATAATTCTTGGTGCCCCAAGATGCACAAGAATCATCAACATGAGCGAAGAACTTAAGCTTCCAACCATTCTGGAGAGAATAATGCAAGCCAACACGACCTTTTGCCTTAAAGACATGAGAGACCTTACATCTCCTGCATTGCTCAGAGACAAATTATTCAGTGCTGTGAACACCCTATTGACTGGTGCCGACATACCAACTCACTCCTTTTATGACACATGGCTGAGTAAAAATGCCTACAATCTCATCAAACTCAATATTCTTTTTAAGTGAAATCTATCTGGCTCCGATATTCCCCTTTATCTGCACCCCACTATTCAAGTATCATACACACCTGTCACCAAGAAAGGTAATGAGAATCTTGCTCTTCTCAAAGCTGTCACACTTGAAATAATTGGCTCCTCCATCGAAAATTTAAGATCTCACGAGCACTGTGTCTACACCGACGGCTCAGTCCAATCTTCTACTGGACGGACTGCAACGGCATGTAGGTTTTATAGAAACAATATTTGCACACAGACTGTCAGTGTCAGGTTAAACAACTGGCTGACCTTCACTAGCGGCACTACAGCTAGCTACCAGTACATTGAAAACATTGGAGGAGGAATAATATTCTGTGATTCAAAGTCTGCTCTTCATGCAATCGAAAACTTCTGGAAGATCGACAGCAAGAACCTCATACTACCAATTATAAATGACCTAATTGATGCACAGAGTAAAGGGTTTCGAATCTCCTTTGTATGGATACCATCACACATAAATATAACCCATCATAATGACAGTCCCCATTGCGCAGTGGCAAGACAATCGCCTGGCGCTTCGCGAGCGCTTTGGCCTGGGTTTGTATCCTGGCCGGGGTCAATTCTTAACTGTAGCCTCTATTCACCCAGCAGTGAATGAGTACCTGGTTGTTAAACGAATTGGCGGGTCGTATTCCGGGGAAAATTAGAATTAAGGACTTGCCCGAAACGCTATGCGTGCTAGTGACTTAACAAGAATCTAAGAACTCTTGTATAAATAAATAAAAAAAGACATTGCTGTCAAATTAGTGTGTAACAAAGATGAAGCTGAATTAGACCCAGGTAGCCCCATCTCTGCTGTCAAGACTATATTGTTCCAAACACTTAGGTCTGATAGGAGATAAATTACTGACTCCCAACGACCTGGAAGCCACCAGTATAAAAAGCTATGATATGTTCAGATCTGGAATCTATGTTCATGGGCAGAACATAACGTCGACCAGACTGTGCGACACAATAGTTGCCAGGATCAGGTTGGGTTACCGTTACCTGTGGCAGGTGGCTACAGGTGACGGATCTCCCAATCCTGAACACTTCAGGTGCAAACTCTGTGAGCAGGAACTGGGTCATGAGTTTGCACACATCACTAAATGCCCAGTTATCAGACCCGTTGGCATGAGGTACCTAAAGCTTTGTAATTACTTCATTCACTCTCGTATTTTTGAGGATATCCTCATAATACACCCAAAATTTGCCAGTATAGGCTACTGAATATATGGCCCTGTATGACTAACCAACCTGCGAGATGGGGACTTTTAGTACACTGCTAACTTATTGACTCTTGTGTTGATGATGATATCCTCATAATGCATGCCGAGTTTGCCAGTGCAGACTACTTATCACATGTCTCTGTATGACTAACCATATTGTGTGATGGGGATTTTTAGCATCACGTAGCTAGCTTTTTGACACACTGTACTTCCCTTCATATAATCCAGGGGAGCTGCACAAATGTAGATGTACCTAAATGTGTAAATAAAATAAATAAGACCTCACTAGGCCTCTCTCGACCTGTCACTTGGGTGCTCCAATAATCAACAATTCTGGCACCTTGCCTAATAATCACCATGGACTTCGGTCTGAAGCTTGATCGTGTTACATAAAAGAAAACACGAAAATTCTGTCACCTCAGTCATTGCGTGTGACATACACACACACTCATACGCAGCACATGTCGTATTAAACAAAGAGTCCCGACAGGTCCTGTTGGATTTATTCACTATCGAGTGGATATGTTCCCTGTTGACCGCTAGTTATGCCTTGTCGTATGTACCCTCGTTCACCGTACTCTCACTGGTGGCGTCCGGCACCTCTCCACCGAGCTTATAAATTGCCACCACCACCGGGAAAGTTCTCACGGGCTATTCAAGCCCGTGCCACCTCTTCGGTGACTTAATCTTCACCAATCAAATCAAGGGAAAACCATCAAGGTTACCCAGACAGCAACGATACTGACTACTAACCCCCCCCCCCCCGTCCCCCCAACACTCTGGCAATGACGCCTTGGAGAGGGACTCATTGCCAGTACACCCATACTATAATTTGCTCTTACTGCTCAGTCTAGTCAATGTTAATCTGTGTCACTTTAGGTCACTGTACACTTTTGCTCATGTGTGCTGAGCTAGTTACTATAACAAAGAGCTCTTACCTCAAAGTGCGCTCACCATTTGGTCCGGGAGACATCTCCCGTCACGCAGGGTGCAGTTGCGCCTCCACAGATCTCCAGTATCATCTTTTGATACTGGTAATGGCTCAAAAGGGTCACCACTTACGGGCTATTCATGCCCGTGCCACCTCTTGGGTGGCTTAATCTTCATCAATCAATCAATCAAAGTGCGGGGTTTAGTATAGACTCGTCGCCTGCTGGCACCGGGGCTCCCTCCCCTGGATGAAGTGTTCACACACACCAGGCTGTCCTCAGGTCTCCTGACGACGCGTGGTCATTAATCACAAGTAGCCTTCTCACTGGCACACCTTACAAATAACTTCTTCTTGAGGAACAAAGACCTGATGTAGGTTACGCCAGCCTGGCGGCTCTGTCCTGGCGGCACAGTAAAAGCTTTGATATCAACGCCCAGAATGACTGCTGGCAATAACCCCCGAGAATTTGTGAGGATTTTGAAAATTCTTTACAAGGCAAATGGTCTTCCTACCTTCAATATTCCTGAAGAAGTCTTCAACGCTCCAGGTTCAACTTTAACAACTGACCCTGTAGAGGATGCCGACTCTACATCCGACGACGACGATTCCGCCACTGCAATGCAGACTTCAGATCCTGTTCTAGTACCTACAGCTCATAAGACTCTGCCTCATGTGACCCCTACTTCCGCAACAGTTCCAGTTACTAACCATGACATCACTGTGAACGCAGCCACGCTTTCAGACTTACTGTCGGCTCCTGCTCCACACGTTTCTCCAGCTGTTGCTGACCCTTCACCCGTCTCAGTGGCGAATTTCGCTGCAATCGACCCTTGGTGTGACCCTATAGAGGGTACCTACTATTCAGTCCCTTCTGCTGCAGTACCTACTACTGCTACTCAACCTTCAAGAACTCAACCTTCAAGAACTCAACCTTCAAGAACTCTACCCCAGCGAGTCAACACCCCTGCTCTTCATTCATCTGATGAATCGGATGAAGACGTATCTGTTGGAACACCATCACCTCCACGGAAAGATCACCCCCAAGCAGCAACACGAAACGTGACCACCAAGACCGACAAGCCCAAAAAGAAGACCAACGATCAAAGTTTGGTGAAATCAACAAGGAAGAAGACTACTAACGAACTGACTTAACATCAACATCTGAAATCACACCTCAACTGCCAGCTGCTTGCGTTCCCGGCCCCTGTGTGTACTGCAAATGACACCCTACTCAATTCTACTTCCATCTGATCAAGTTCTAATCTGCGGTGGTTGGGCCACCGATCTTTCATCTCCCCTCTTCACCTCATGTCCAGATCCTTGCTCAAGATTTCTGCAGCCTCGTCCTGTTCTTCCATCCCCTGCCTGCCAACTCTATGGACAGTTTCGTTTCGTTTCGTACATCCGGTACATCGTCCACCTTCTTCTACAGAGCCGTCGGTATAGCACTGATACACATCGTTACCCAAACCCTGAGTACTCTCAGTGATTTTTTCAGTGTTAACGGTTTAATAATGTAGCGTGCACACTATCTTTCTTGGGTGCATTTACAAAATCAACTGATAGATCCCAGTTACCCCATGGATTAATTGGTTGATTAATCATTAATTGAGTTGGGTAAATATTTAATATTTTGACGGAGTTGGCTACCTTGTAAAACCAAAATGCATAATCAGATTTCGCTCTTCTTCTATAGACTTCTTCTATATTCCTCAGGTGAGTGTAGCATATTAGAAAGTTTAGCTTGAAACTTCATGTGTTGTCTAGATTTTCTCAATGCCTTAACGCCGAAAACTGTGCTAATAGACAAAATTCTCTCACTTATGGTAGGTAATTTTAACTCTGCTCTCATATTAACTATTCTCGTGGACCTTGGAGCCCCAAGGATGAGACGCATAGCTTCATTTTGCAAGGTTTCAAGAGACTTCAGCTCTTTGTCAGTATACAGTGTGAGATGTAGAGCATTGTAGTCAATCACAGAGCGTATAAATGATACATAAAACATTCTAGCAAGTCTCACGTTAAGTCCATGATTGACGAAGTGGCAAGGGGAAGGGAGGGAGGGACAAAAAAATACACGACCACTCCCTTCACTGGATTGACCAACATTTATCATATACCGTATATATAGTGTCACTGGAGATTAACATATATTAGGATTGGCAGGTATAATAATCACAGCAATCACGGGCCTTGCTAACAGGTGAAAAGGTTAATAGTAACCACACTCAACGGTCGTAATGTTGAATGTTACAAACCTCTTCTCACTTCTGTACATCAGTACATTCTGTACATTCTGTACATCAGTACATTTCTTCTATACATCAGCTTCTTGGAATTTATCAGGGAACCACCGTGACCAAACTGGGGAGATCCTCCCAGACACAAAACCACTGAAACTTATCACAACTACAAATGGGTGACGAACTTCTGGGCAGGAGCTCCCAAAACTAATCACGGTGTGATAAATAAATAAAAAACTAAAAGTGAACAGACACCTTCTCGTGCTGCTACTTCTTCTGACACTGCACTCACTTTTATCTTGAGATAATTTCGGGTCTTAGCGTCCCCGCGGCCCGGTCCTCGACCAGGCCTCCTTATTGTTACACACCCCCCAGGAAGCAGCCCGTAGCAGCTATCTAACTCCCAGGTACGTATTAACTGCTATGTGAACTGAAAAAACATCAGGGTGAAAAAATACCCTGCTATTTGTTGCTGCCTCCACTGGGGATCGAACCCGGAACCTTAGGACTGCAAACCCCAAGAACTGTCCAGAAGTGCAGAAGGGGGTGAGAGCCCCAGGGGCAGCCAGGTACCCCTCCTAGTACAAACTGAGAGCCCCAGGGGCAGCCAGGTACCCCTCCTAGTACAAACTGAGAGCCCCAGGTGCAGCCAGGTACCCCTCCTAGTACAAACTGAGAGCCCCAGGGGCAGCCAGGTACCCCTCCTAGTACAAACTGAGAGCCCCAGGGGCAGCCAGGTACCCCTCCTAGTACAAACTGAGAGCCCCAGGGGCAGCCAGGTACCCCTCCTAGTACAAACTGAGAGCCCCAGGGGCAGCCAGGTACCCCTCCTAGTACAAACTGAGAGCCCCAGGGGCAGCCAGGTACCTCTCCTAGTACAAACTGAGAGCCCCAGGGGCAGCCAGGTACCCCTCCTAGTACAAACATGTATGCTAGTGCGGGTATCCCACTGCAGCTCAATCCACTTCCTCCATCCCTCTATTTCCCCCTCTCACACCTCTATCCCAGTCATCCCCTCTCCCCGTCTCCCTCATACACATCCCTCTCTTCCCATCTTGCCTATCTTTTACCCGCCAGTTACACGTCCCAGTGTGGCAACAGTCAGTGTAAGGACCAGTTACACGTCCCAGTGTGGCAGCAGTCAGTGTAAGGACCAGTTACACGTCCCAGTGTGGCAGCAGTCAGTGTATGGACCAGTTACACGTCCCAGTGTGGCAGCAGTCAGTGTATGGACCAGTTACACGTCCCAGTGTGGCAAGTCAGTGTATGGACCAGTTACACGTCCCAGTGTGGCAGCAGTCAGAGTATGGACCAGTCACACGTCCCAGTGTGGCAGCAGTCAGTGTATGGACCAGTTACACGTCCCAGTGTGGCAAGTCAGTGTATGGACCAGTTACACGTCCCAGTGTTGGGGCAGTCAGTGTAAGGACCAGTTACACGTCCCAGTGTGGCAGCAGTCAGAGTATGGACCAGTTACACGTCCCAGTGTGGCAACAGTCAGTGTATGGACCAGTTACACGTCCCAGTGTTGGGGCAGTCAGTGTAAGGACCAGTTACACGTCCCAGTGTGGCAGCAGTCAGAGTATGGACCAGTTACACGTCCCAGTGTGGCAGCAGTCAGTGTATGGACCAGTTACACGTCCCAGTGTGGCAGCAGTCAGAGTATGGACCAGTTACACGTCCCAGTGTGGCAGCAGTCAGTGTATGGACCAGTTACACGTCCCAGTGTGGCAACAGTCAGTGTATGGACCAGTTACACGTCCCAGTGTGGCAACAGTCAGTGTATGGACCAGTTACACGTCCCAGTGTGGCAACAGTCAGTGTATGGACCAGTTACACGTCCCAGTGTGGCAACAGTCAGTGTATGGACCAGTTACACGTCCCAGTTAGGGAAGATGCCGTCTAGTGTCCGTGTGGGGAAACAGTCGTGCAGCAGAGAGAAGGAAAGACAATCAAGAGAAAGGAAAACAGAACGAGAATGAGCAAAATCCAAAGTGAAAGAGGATGATAGCATGAAAAAGAAAAAGAGCACTGAAATAGTTACGAGTTTTGAGAGGAAGGGAGCGGACCAAATGGGATACATTGCCAGTGTGGGGAGAGCGGAGGGCGACGACGCCGGGTGATGGTCACAACTCATAATAGAAGCTGATGAATGGCAGGAAATAGGTTGGTAAAGGAGAGAGAGAGAGAGAGAGAGAGAGAGAGAGAGAGACGAGAGAGAGAGAGAGAGAGAGAGAGAGAGAGAGAGAGAGAGAGAGAGAGAGAGAGAGAGAGAGTGTGTGTGTGAAAGTCATATAGGAGCTGAGAAAGAAATAACTGAAAGAAAGGGAACAGTAAAAGGATTTGGTAATTATAAAGACACAGTAAAATGAAAGGAAATTAGAGGCAATAAAAGCCAGTGGAAGCATGGGAGTAAGAGCCTCCCACGTAGTGGTAGTGGGAGCCACACACAGGTTGAGTGATCAATGAAACTATTGGTGTTAGTGGTTACAAGGTCTAAGTAGGGCCATACAGTGTACCACAATCAACCTACAGACATAAAGGCCAGTTACCTTATAAAAGATAAGGAGGAAGGACTCTACAACCGGTTAATAAAACTGATCGAACTCTCGTTCCTTCTTATCTGTTAAAACATTAAAAATATTGAGGTCAGTGGTAGCCTAAGAGTCAAGAGGAAGCTGAACCAATGTATTTAAGTAAAAATACAATTATAGTTGGCCTATTGACTGATATTAGGCAGTTCCTATTTATATCCATCTAAACACATTCATATATACGTCTAACCTACGCTTGAAACAATCCATCGATCCCATGCCTATTAATTTATCTGGTAATTTGATTCGTAATTCAACAACCCTGTTTCCAAACCTGTGTATTTACCCAGGTATTTCTTGAGTCAATATTTATCCCATTTACATCTATTGTGTCGAGTTCTTAAGTGTAAGAATATATTTACAACTTTATATATATCATTTGTTATACCCTTTCATCCAGCGATATACCTCAATCATATAACCCTTTACGTGTTATATAATGTATATATTAGAGAGGTTTACCATAAAATGTTAAATATGCACAATCTCTGTTAATTTCGCACACATATAGCACTCAAAAATAATATTTTAAATATCCGTCGAATTTTTCGATCTGGTTAGTTAGCGTTAAAAGAGAAATATGTCCGTTTTCACGTATGGTCAAATTTCCCAATAAAACGACTAAATTTAAAATTTCAATATGTGCATGATGTTCAATTACGGTAAAAGAAAATAGCACTCAAGCATAATACTTTAAATATCATATTGTTTTTCAAACCGAAAGTTAACATAAGAAAAAAGGAAAACCTCAGTTTTCCCCAGTGGCAAAATTTCCTTATAAAATTACTAACTTTAAAACTTCATATATGTGCAATCTGTTTCAATTAGGCTCATCAATAAATCTCAAGCAAATTATTTTAAATATGTTTTATTTTTTCAAACTTGAAATCAATTTGGGTAAAATGCGAAAATTCGTAGTTTTCCCTGGTCAAATTTCCTTATAAAATGATTGCTTATATTTGAAGTTTAAATTCAATCACCTTGAGTTACGCCCAACAGGAGCACTCAAGTATAATATTTTATATATATATATTTATTTGTCAGACTGCAAGACAGATTGAGAAAATGCGAAAAATAACTCTTAACACAAACACACATCACCAACACTGCACATCACCAACACTCCACATCACCAACACACCACATCACCAACACTCCACATCACCAACACTCCACATCACCAACACTCCACATCACCAACACACTCCACATCACCAACACACACATCACCAACACTCACACACACCAACACCTCACATCACACAACACTCACCTCACCAACACTCCACCTCACCAACACTCCACATCACCAACA